AATAAAAAATTTTTTATTTCTAACAAAAGGTGTTACGAGGGATTCAATGGGAAAAAAATGTGTGAAATTCTTGGGGCGGCAGCACCGATAAACCCTTTTTACATGTATTTTAATGTCACACAAATAACGTTTTCGCTAATAACAGCGTTTTTCAGGTACCTATTAGACATTATTGGCGAGAGTCTACTGTATGTGCAAAAATTCCCAAGCAAAGGTGTTGACTATGGCAGTATGTGGAAGGAGTTTTAAGTGATATTTGTATCTTTATGCAGCTATGTATGCCCCCCCCCCCCATTCCCACATCCTCCAAAATAGAGAATAAAAAACACAAAAAAGACTTAGAAATTGATTTCAGGCAACTCTTCCTCTTTGGCGAGTGCAGGGAAGCAGACACAACACACCAATATTCAGCAGGTCTGAGGCCTTGTCAAGGAGAGGTGGTGTGTACTCTGCGGTGCCGCACATCTTACCTCACTTGTACTGCTGTACCAGGCTTCTCTCCTTGAATATCAGGATGGCACATGATTTAAAACATAAAAGACAACTAAAAGAAGCATGTGCCAAGAGCAGTAAAACAAAACAAAACAAGAAAATATCACTAAGACTGACGACAGTAACAGCCATCCCAGGAGAAACATTGAGGCAGCCCAGCCCCAGCCTTCCACCCCTCACCTCTACCTCATGTAAAGAATATAACTGGAGTGAAGTTGGAGATGTAAAAATACACACAAAAATAAGATATTACATGTAAAATCAGCTCAGAATGAGCACTTAAACAGGGCAGAAAGGTTGAGAAACTTTATCAGCCTGTATCCCAAAATGAACTTTTCCAACACTCACATTGGAATTTCTCTGCCAGTTTTTGGCTGATTTCAATGAAATAAAAACTCATCAGAGGAAGAATCTTTCCTCAACATAATTCCATCTTCCAATTATTCTATCTTGTAAGATTTATTTTTGGTCGAATACTTTATCTCGACATTTTGAAAAAAATTTATACCAAACTTGAAAAATTTATACCCCTAAAACCAAAGACAAAACAACCATATCGCCTTGTAATATTCAATGACAATAATAGATCTCTTAGCAATATCAATTTCAAGGCAAAGTCGGAAAAAGTTAGAGAAATACTGCCATGAAAATTTAGAAACGGGTGAGAAAAGGGGTAAGGGGTTGAAAAAGTTGAAAAGGTAGAAGGGGGCTATGTGGCTAGAACTGATGTACATAATAATCCTTGAATGATGACAGGAATATAACAACAATCGACCAAAATTAAAAGCACCGACATCTTAAAGCCGGAAACTCCCCTTAAGCTTGAGAGATAAGTCGCATATGTCGGGAAAGACTTCAATAGCTCCATTCTATCCCCTGGGCATACCAAGTAGCTACCAAGCTCCTTCAGTTGAGGAGTTTGTGGATGATTGTTGCATCCATAATGACCGAGTCTGACTAAGACTCACTGTGAATCGTCCCTTAATTGGGATGTGGTGACACCATTTTCCACTTCTAATTGATGAGAAGCCGAATTTTTTGCACCACGTAATATCTGGAGGGTGTTGGTGGCAAGGGGGGGGGGGGATGTTAGTGGTACAGTTTTACCCCGCTTAACGCGCTTTCACTTAACGCGTTTTCGCATATACGCGGTGCCTTGCCAAAGCTGAACTTTCACTTAACGCGGCATTTTTCATCACATACGCGGTGAGTGTCCGGCTCGAGAGCTATTTTTAGATTCGCACCACCCCCCACCCGCCACCCTGCCTGACTGCCTGTTTTAGCTCATAAAATTCATACAAATTACCCGGCCAGAATATAATTTACATTGCTGGAATTCTTATAATTTGGTGATCATTTTGAATATAAACAACATATATTTTGCATTAAACATACAATTTTTAGATAAAAATATTTCTCTAGGTAACTATGTTATCTTTTGTCCAAAATATATGACATTTATATTCAAAATATTCCTGGTCTTACAAGGAATCCAGCAATGTCAATTATATTATCCTAACTTTAGTTTGAGGTATTATTTATTAAAATTTAGTGGTTATCCCACACATCTCCTTGGGACGGTTGGTGGGGGGTGGGGGGGAGGGAGGGGACCGACCGACCGACCATCTGTTACCCCGTGAAGAATTATTTTTTTTTTTTTAACTGAAGATATTTGTTTTAGCTCATAAAATTCATACAAATTACCCGGTCAGAATATAATTTACATTGCTGGAATTCTTATAATTTGGTGATCATTTTGAATATAAACAACATATATTTTGCATTAAACATACAATTTTAGATAAAAATTGTTCTCTAGGTAATTATGTTATCTTTTGTCCAAAATATATGACATTTATATTCAAAATATTCCTGGTCTTACAAGGAATCCAGCAATGTCAATTATATTATCCTAACTTTAATCTGAGGTATTATTTAATACTAAATGTTAAAAACTCTTGAATGGAGGATTGGTGGGGGTGGGGGGAGGGTTGGGACTGACCACGCGGTTGGAAGAGGGGGGGAAGGCAAGGTGGGGTACTTTGATTGACAGATAGTGTCGAAGAATATTTTTTTTTTTTTATTAACTGAAGATATTTGTTTTAGCTCATAAAATTCATACAAATTATCCGGCCAGAATATAATTTACATTGCTGGAATTCTTACAATTTGCTGATCATTTTGAATATAAACATCATAGATTTTGCATTAGACATACAAATTTTAGATGTAAAGTTTATTCTGAGTAAATATGTTATCTTTTGTGAAAAATATATGACATTTATATTCAAAATATTCCTGGTCTTACAAGGAATCCAGCAATGTCAATTATATTATCCTAACTTTAGTTTGAGGAATTATTTATTACTATACCTGGTTTTCCCCAAAAAATTTCTCAGAGGGAAGAGCCAGTGAGTGTAGTGTGAGAAGAGGGGGAGGGAGTTGAGTCCATTATTTGAATGGACATTAACTTGGCGACTGTATTTCTCTATTTCTCTTAAGTATTAATTGTGTGCATGTACCATCATAAAATTAAGATGTTATTTTTACTACAACATAGTTATTTGTCGTCAAAAAGTGGAGTTTGGGGGTCGGGCTGGGTTCTATTGGAATTAATCCCATATGTTCTGTTATTCACTTAACGCGGTTTTCACTTAACGCGGGACCCTCTGGGTTCAATTGACCGCGTTAAGTGGGGTACAACTGTACTTAGTTACTTAAGCAGAATTTTAAATACACTCAGTTTCACAAGTATGTATAGATACAAGCTTTATATCTAAGATGGAATTATGTAAGACAATTTAGAACCACAGCCTCTTTGAAATTAATTTTAGGTACAGATATATGCACAGAGCAACTGACAGCTAATGGGAAGACCAAGCCCCTGAAGGAAAGGTGGGGGGGGGGAGAAGAGAGGATTCGATGGGGGAGGGGGGATAAAAGGGTAGGCTAGGTGAGGTGGATGGTCAATGTGCTAATGGACACAAGAAGAGCAAAGGGGAAATCCGCTGTCATGGCTACTACCACCTGATCTGACCTGATCTGACCTGACCTGACCTGATGTCACCTCACCTTATGAGACCTCTATATAAGTGACCGCATGGTGTCTCCCCACACCGTACCCTTCATGGCTCCAGCCACACCAAACCCTCCACCCACACAACTCTTTTACTATAGTTAATAATTAATTAATTAAAAAATATATTATTAGTTTGCTTGTAACATTGTAACGATTTTTGTTTTTTCAATTGTATTGGAGTAAAGGTACAGTAGAATGTCGATTTAAAGCGATTCAATTGAAGATTATTGATTTAAAGCGACACCCACAATTAAGGACAATGTTTTAATTTAAAGCGAATCTTTCCTATTTTGCGCGAGTCAATCTGGCGCATCATATTTTAAATTTCGCGCTTAATGTTTCTCTGGGCACGCTACACTGTCCTTAAGGCAAACCTGTACTGTACATGTGCTCAAAATAATGTACTAAATGATTATTAAATTTTTGTCTAGTGCAAACTACAGCATGATTGATTATATTCAAACTAATCATTATCTTATAAGAATTCCAGCAATGTTAATTTTATTCTCCCATGTCAGTTCAGTGACATTTTATAAGAGAAAAACTTAGTCACTCTTAAGGACAGATAAATAAATAAGCACTACACCTTGGCATCAACTGTCAATTATATCACCTCACCTCTCCCCCCCCCTCCCATCTTCCCATAAGCTGATCACCAGTAAACAGACCATTTCAAGTCCCATAATTTTAGCTGTGTTGATTTATGAGTGTTTGTTTTAACATAATACTACAAAAAACAATGTTTTGTTTATTCTAGGATATAGTATTTTGTGTTTCTCTCATGTACCAAGCTAAATTATTCCATTGAAACAACACTTCAATTTAGTGCGAAATCGGTTTAAAGTGACCTCTCTTGAAACGTATCTCATGTTATATCGACGTTCTACTGTAGAAAACCACACTTAAGTAAAAGTAAAAGTACTTAATAATTTGAGTACTTTTTAAAAAGTAAATACAGTGCCCAAAAATTTTGCTTGAGTACAGTATTCAAGCAAATTTATTTAGTTACTTTACAACTCTGCCCATTCATAACTCGGGGACTGTCTGTACTGTAATGTACTTTTCCTCACAATCATAATGCTGTACCTTCCCTCACAATTATAATATTGTACCTTCCCTCACAATTATAATATTGTACCTTCCCTCACAATTATAATATTGTACCTTCCCTCACAATCATAACACTGTACCTTCCCCCACAATCATAACACTGTACCTTCCCCCACAATCATAACACTGTACCTTCCCCCACAATCATAACACTGTACCTTCCCTCACAATCATTCAAATATCATTACAAACAAATCTTCCTCTTCACACTTACGATATAAATAACCTCCCTTTAAATTGTTTTCTACCTTCTACCTTTGCAATCATCAAAAAGTTATGTAAATTTAAAAGTTACAAAAAATCAGTATATTCTACTCACCAACTTGCCGTGTACTTCACCAGAGAAATGAGAAAGAGTTCCTTCAATACTGACAATCACACCATATGCTGCTGCAATAACACAAGGATAGACAAAGTATCCTGGCACGCGTACGTGCGGGGACTCCCACCAATCATAGCCATCACTTGTGTTTCGTAAACCATCAATCAAGGAAGAGTTCCATAAGAATATGATGGCATAAACTCCCAGAGTCTGAAAGTTAAAATAAAGTTGTAATTTTTATGTAAATCTATTATAAAGTTTTTTTCCTTAACTGAGATGCCAATTACCTGTACAAGCAGGAAATCCTCTCCTACATCAATGCTATAAAAGGATGTGCAATCATAACAAGTGTATATTTCCTGCCACAAAAAGTGACACATCTATTCAAAATTTTAATGCCTTGCCCCTAGGTGTAATCTTTAACCCATTAAATGTCACCACCATTTCAAAACAGCAGGATAGTATTGTCACTACAGCATCACCGCAGTTTTAAAACATACAGTACTGTATTTACGAATCTCCCATGCTCACCAGTGACAACTAACAGCCTAAATAAGTGAAAACAGGTCTAGTGGCAATTGTTCCGGGCGCTCGGATGAATTGGGAGGAGGTGGAGGTGAGGGTGTGAGGGACAGAGCTGGCCTCCCTGCCTTATCTCACATTTATTCCTCCCTTGTTCATTGTCTCTTTTACAGACACTAAATAGTGTAGCTTAGAGGTTGTAGCAACTTTTATTGAAGTGTCTTTGCATTGCAACATATTTTTTCATATCTAACATTTTTTTTTGTATCCAACTCACAAAATACATTGTACTGTTTTGGTGGAGTGAGGTAGTGTGTGTTGCCATTATAATGTTATTTTTTATCAAGTGTCTAAAAAAATAATTTAAATTAAATTTTATTCAGAAGTCATATAAATCAATAAAAATATATCAAATTTAACTAAGCAGATAAAAAACAATGACAAAATCCAGTTTATTGAAAGAAAACTAAAATCTAGCATTGGTTATGTTCAGTCAGCCTGCCCAGGCGGTGGAGGTGGATTGTTGCTGTCGCATGCTCCTAGTTATACTATGTACATACATCCATCAAGACAAAATAAATTAGTAAAACCTTAAAATAAAATTATTTATTACATAGTTTTCCATGAGCATGTGAGTAAAGAGAGGAAAGAAATAAACTATTTATGAATGCAATAGAGAAAAATAATTTGACAATTCTATTTGGTTCCCTTGCATGAGAAGCCCCGGGGAATTCCCTGAAATGCACATACAGTAAGTCCTCGCATAACGTCGTTTTGATACTACGTCGTTAAACTTTATGAGACCAAAAATTCGCTTAACGTCACGGTGATCCGATACTACATCGTTTTGCGTTGTCGCGGACTACTTTCTACAGTGCATCACCCGCTCGTCTGGCCGCGCTACGCTCTCTCGGCTCGGCCCACTGCCCTCACTCGCTGAACGTCACAGCGACGCCAAGCCAGTCTCTGTTACGACTTCACATCATTCATGTGTGCTTAAGTGCTTTTGCTCTAAAACTGCACTCTTACCATTCAAAATGGCTTCCAAACCCCCATCAAGTGCTACTGATGCTAGTGTAGTGAAGAAGCAACATAAGACCATTACCCTTGCTTCGGAAATGGATGTATTAACCCGATTTGAAAAAGGGCAACGTGTTGTGGACATAGCCGCTGTGCTTGGTCTAACCCCGACAAAGGTGCGTGTTATCGCCGCTGGCTTTATCGTTGGTGTCAACAACCATGTGCCTCCCCCACCCCACACGCGGCCTGTTACCACACCAAATGTAGCGATTGGGGGGGGGGAGGGGTGTTTACCACCGGGAGTGTCATCGCCACTGGAGTAAGTGCTGGCATCGCCGGGAGTGTTTTCATCGCTGCGTCAACACTAGTGTCAGTGCTGACGTTTTTGCTGCCTTACCCGAACAAAGATTAGGGGGTGGGCGGTGTTTACAGAGAAGAGATCATGACTCTGCTAATGTATGGTTTAAAAGGCGGCGTGGTTGCCTGGACTCTAGGAGACTGCCCCCTCAAGTGATGCTGTGAGGACCAACACTCTGCTAGCAGTGGTGAACAACAACTCCCAATCCTGGCCGAGTTTTGTACTGGAACAATTTACACAGAACTATCTTCCCTTGGAACACCATACTGGTTTGCATTGACCCGCACTTGTAAGTACAGCCAAAGTGATGACATACCCCTCAGTACTGAAATATTGTCGACTAATTATCCCCACTCGTTCCTGCCTTATCTGAAGCAATAAGACAACGCGGAATGAAGTGTAGCTAAGATTAATAGAGTTATGAACTTTGTATCATGTCATTATGCTCAATAATCAATTATAATTAAGATAAATTGTGCTTGACTAACTAATTATGTATCAGATAGATCACCATGTAATACTAATGTTAATGAACGCCTTGTTGTCTGCAGGTTTTGACCACATCAATAAATATTGAATGCGTCAAAAGACGGGTTTCAATCATTCCCTTCGACTTGCCTATCACCTGAACGTCCTTAACTAAGGCGTTTACAGTGCGTACTATCCGGACCAACGCTGACAAGATTAAGGTTAGTGCTGGAAGTGGTTTTTCTCCGAGTGCTACTAAGACGACTCGTACTAGAAGCACTGTGATAGAGAAGGTGGAAAAGATGCTGGCAATGTGGATGGAGTACCAGAATCAAAGCAATGCCCCTGTGAGCCTTATGGTTATCCAGCATAAGGCCAGATCCTTGTTTGACGACATGAAGGAAACAGAGGGTGAAGGATCGAAAGAAGAGACCTTTATGGCCAGCCGAGGCTGGTTTCAACGATTTAAGCAATGATATAACTTCCACAACATAAAGATGACTGGTGAAGCTGCCAGTTCAGATACAGTTGCTGCTGAGACATTCCCGCCAACAACGGAGGAGGAGCAAACATCAACGAAGGAGGAGCAAGCAGCAGCGGAGGAACCCCAGTCAGAGCAGGAGGAGGAGGAGGCAGCCACAGAGTCTCAGTGACTCATCACCCTCCGCCTCTCCCGCCCTCCTCCTCCGCTCCAATACAAACTAAGTACAGTACTGTAGTTCTATATACTATTCTCTATAGAAATAGCAATGATTTTCTGTATATGTAACTTTTTTCATGGGACAAAGGGAGTCTCAGGAACATAACTCCCGTATTTTATCTATTTCTTATGGGGAAAATTCATCCATTTAACGTTTTGTTTAACGTCGCGTTTTCAGGAAAAAAAACCCGACATTAAGCGAGGACTTAATGTACGTACACATAATAATGCATAGCAGGAAGTTTAAATGCCCAGGGAACAAAATTAAAAAAAAAAAATTCACCTTTTATACAAAAATAAAAATAAAATCAATTGTTTTTCTGGACACAACAAGAGGACTTTTACCAGAATTGGTGGATGCTTTATGGGTTAAACTGTAAGTGGCAGCACTGGAGAAGAATCAACTTAAACAATAATGAATACTGTCAAATATTATTAAATACTCACCACTCTTGCTACCAGCAGAAAAGTTTCAACTGTTATTACACGGCTGAAGTATAAGTAGGGCCATCCAGCTTTCTGTCTCCGTAATTCCCACATGGCCAACACCATCTGTAAGTACTCAACACTTAGCAATAGTGACTCATGGGAAAAATTCATTATGACTGCTGTTCCACATTTATGCTCAGTAGATGATCGAGTTTTCAAGACAAACAAACTGGACAAACAATAAGCAGGAAAAAAGGCATATTACACAGCCCGACTTAGTGTAATATAGCCACTAGGTCATTCATTTTAATGACAATTAGTGTTATAAAAATTGATGAAGACCTGAACACAAACTTGAGGGATTTGTTCAGAATGAAATTTAACATCATACATAAGCTTAGCCATACAATTTCTTCATAATTTGTCCCCAGCGAAGTAAATTTTTCAGTTTAAATCTAAAACCTTAGTATTTCCCCCTCCTTGTTTAATTTCCAAAATTCTAGATATTTTCCTACAAAAACACTTCTTATCAAATCAACTGAAACTCCAGTAAAAAAAAAAAAAAACGGAATTCAATAATGAGGGTTGGAGAAAACTCTGCTTATCTGAACTGTTTACAGAAAATCAGTTGATAACATATTACTACTGCACTTCAACAACTAAGGTCTCTAAGTGTACAATGAGGTTATTAAAATAATTTTACAGCAACAATAAAAAAATATGAAACGGAGCTCTCTGGGTTGAAAATCTGACATAGAAGTCTGGTTGTCAACAGCTGATGTCACCGAGATGATTGTTATTTACTGTAAAGTATTATATGTAATTAACCACAGAATTTATCTTATGAATAAAGAGAAAACTGTATACAGTGGTCCCTCAGTTAACGAACACAATTCGTTCCAGAAGGTCGTTTGTTCACCGAAAATTTCGTTAACCGAAACCATTGTTTTAATGAGATTTTGGGTAATTGGTTCCAGCTCACCAAAAATTACATACAAACTAAAAATAAATGCAGTAAAGTACCCTTACTCTGAGGTGTGCGTGTAGAAGGCTCCTGGTTGATGGTGATGATGATGGGAATTAGAATGGGGGGTGGAGGAGAAGGGAAGGCATTGGGGTGGAAGAGAAGTCACCCCATGCTGCCATTTCACCCCTAAAATTTTATTTCACTTGGAGTAATTCAAGATTATTTTCTTTAAATCAACACTGCACTGCATTATATATTGTCAATATGTAAAATAAACTTCAGAATGACCAATAATTGTACTGTAAAAACGTAAAAATAGTTTATGTTCAAGAGAGTCAAGCAAGATGCTTCCTCCACTGAGAAGACACACAAAGTGACGCCATTCTGGGGGAGTCAAGTGGTGTTTGGCGCGCTAAAAACTAGTTCCCTGTACTTCAATTATGTTAAATAATTGTTAAAATGACTAAAAACTTTAATATAAGACTTGGAAAATTATTGAATAGTACAACCTTCTTGATATTTACTCAAATGGTAACGAATTTAAGCCCTAAAACCCGATTACTGTATTGGCAGACTAATACTACAGCTGGTGAGCAGGCAAAAACATGTTGGGAAAAATTTGTAAGGAATTCGTTAACCGAAATTTTTTCGTTAACCGAAGTGAAGAATCTTATGGAAGGTAATTCGTTAACCGAAATTTTGTTAACCAAGGGATCACTGTACTGTACAGTACGATAAGTGTAGGAGTATATTGTATGTGGAAGACAAGCATTTATCGGGAGCAGCTGGCAGAGGGGAGGGTAGCACAGGTGGGTACCCCTTCCCACCCCCCCCCCCAAAATTCCTTTAACACTTCTTTATGCATTTTCACCATAATTCTCATATAATTTAAGACCATTTGGTGACACGTTTTTAAAATATTATCCTAAAAGAATCGGCTTTCCTGAAAAAAGAATCCCACACTGAACACCGTGAGTCATTGTTTACAAAGAGCAAACAGCTGATTGGCTTACCACAACATCTTTCTTCAACACTTAGTAAATTAGTACAGTTGTGTATTTATCATCACTTAATAAATACTACAGTGAACCCTCACTTTACACAGTCAATTGAACCCACGGAGGCCCGCATTACAGCGTAATGCGAGAGAAACGCAGAGAAACGCGTAAAGTGAATAACATAACATTTGGGATTAATTGAAATAGAGACCAGGGAGACCCCCAAACTCCACTTTTCCTCGACACAATACCTATGTTCTAGTAAAATTAACATCTTAATTTTATGATGGTACACACACACAATTAATATTTAAGAGAAATAGAGAAATACAGTCGCCAAGTTAATGTCCATTCAAATAATGGACTGAACTCCCCCCCCCCCCTCCCCCTCTTCTCACACTCGCTGGCTCTTCCCTCTCTGAGAAATGTTTGGGGGAAAACACTAGATTTTAAGTTATAGTAATAAATAATACCTCAAACTAAAGTTAGGATAATATAATTGACATTGCTGGATTCCTTGCAAGACCAGGAATATTTTTAATATAAATGTCATATATTTTGCACAAAAGATAACATATTTACTCAGAGTAAACAAAATACTTACATTAGATCTAAAATTTGTATGTCTAATGCAAAATCTATGATGTTTATATTCAAAATGATGATCAAATTGTAAGAATTCCAGCAATGTAAATTATATTCTGGCCGGGTAATTTGTATGAATTTTATGAGTTTAAACAAATATCTTCAGTTAATAAAAAAAAAAAAATTTTTCACGACACTGTCTGTCAATCAAAATACCCGACATTGCCTCCCCCCCCCCTCTTCCCACCATGCCAGCTGGGTCGGTCGGTCCTTCCCTCCCTACCCCCCACCCCTACCAGAGAAATGTTTGGGAGAAAACAGAATATTTACTTTTATAGTAATAAATAATACCTCAGACTATAGTTAGGAAAAAATAGTTCACATTGCTGGATTCCTTGCAAGACCAGGAATATTTTGAATATACACGTCATATATTTTGCACAAAAGATAACATATTTGCTCAGAGTAAACAAAATACTTACAGTAGATCTAAAATTTGTATGTCTAATGCAAAATCTATGAAGTTTATATTCAAAATGATCATCAAATTGTAAGAATGAAAGCAATGTAAATTACATTCTGGCCGGGTAATTTGTATGAATTTTATGAGCTAAAACAAATATCTTCAATAAATAAACAAAATATACGTACCCAAATACTATCTGTCAATCAAAATACCATACCTCCCCCTTCTTCCCACCTGCTCCCTGGGTCCCTCCCTACCCCTCACCCCCACCTTCCCTCCCTACCAGAGAAATGATTGGGTTATAACATTATATTTACATTTTTAGTAATCAATAATACCTCAGACTAAAGTTAGGATAATATAATTGACATTGCTGGATTCCTTGCAAGACCAGGAATATTTTGAATATACACTTCATATATTTTGCACAAAAAATAACATATTTGCTCTGAGTAAACAAAATACTTGCATTAGATCTAAAATTTGTATGTGTAATGCAAAATCTATGATGCTTATATTCAAAATGATCATCAAATTGTAAGAATTCCAGCAATGTAAATTATATCTGGCCAGGTAATTTGTATGAATTTTATGAGCTAAATAAAAAAAAATTATATTTCACGCGTGTATATGAGTAGATGCACCTCGTAAAGTGGGAATTCTGGTTCTGGCAGGGTGCCGCGTAAATGCAAACGCGTAAAAAAAAAACGCGTAAAGCGGGGTATTACTGTATTGCAGTAGGGTGTGTCATACGGTGGCGAATTTTTTTTTTTTTTGAGTTTGAAAAATCGGCCCATGGTATTAATGATGTAGTTCTATATGCAGAATCATGTGATATCTTCAGATTTGAAAAGTTTTCATTTTTTGCTAGGTAAATTTTAACTTGAAATCTTATGAAAATTCAGTATTCCCACCCTTTTACCAACACCACTAAATAGCTTATTTAAAGTAAAGTAAATGTATCAGGTTAATTTATTAGGATGAAAATGATCCAGAATAGTGAAACGAATGATCTTGACACATTTATTAAATTTAATATTCCTTTAGAAAACAAAATCATCAAATACAAAAACCGGTTTTACTACTACGACCCGGTGTTGCTGCACACCATAGAGAACATGTCTTTCTTGCTTCTGTTTCTACTCATCACCTCCCTGCTGACCACCTGAGCTCGGATGTAGCCTTCCCTCCTCTTCTGGCTGTACACGTGACTGCTGGCCTCGCTCACTTGCTGTACACAACGCTCTATACTCTGGGTGTGCGAGGGCCAGGCAGGGACATGCATGGGGTTGTCCAGGAAAGCTCTGACTTGAACATTGGTGAGGCTGCAGGTAAGAGGGTCTTGGTACCCAGATTGACTTTCAGGAGTCTTCCTGACCTGAAGGGAATGCCAACTGATTCGCCATGCCCAGATCCTCGATAAGTCTCATATCCAAGATCTTTTTGACTGCCACTCTTCTCTCCTCCTCATCCTACTGCAGAGCATTGTCTGCAAACTGCTCGATGAGCACATACCAGGAAGATCTCCTCACAGTCTGTCTAATAATCTGAACAACCTCTTGGCTGACCTCAGGAGCCTGGCTGAAGAGAATATGCCTCGTATTCCTTTCGACAATCCATGACTTGACCTTGGTGTTGGAACCAATTTGGCAAGTAGACACTCACGATGAATTGGACAATAAGTCTCTAGGTTGTGCTTGGTTCCTTTCAGTTTATGATGAGCTTTCACCCAAATTCTGCAGAACCTGAGAGCCGCAGAGCCACTCCAGAATGTGGGACTGACCTATCTGCAGGTAAGCAAGTCTGATTGCAAGCATGACCCCAGTTTTGATGGCACTGCAAATCATGTAACCATAGTACTGGTCAGTACTCAGGTCGTCAATGACAGTATGTGCAAGCTCAACGAGTGGAGGGCCAACTGTGATTTTTTTCAAAGCTCGGATTTATTTCTAACCCAGTGGCAGAGTCCAGCATCTTGCCAAGAGGACCAGACCATCTGTTGTTTGAAAGAGTCTTGCCATCCAGCTCCTGGATCAGATGTCTGAGTGGCAACTCGTTGGTGTGGAGGTCACAAACAACCCAGACCAGCTTCCTCCCAATCTTCCGCTCTATCCACTGTATGACTCCCCTTGC